CACCCCTTCTGGTGGCTCTTCTGGGATGGGCATCCTAACTCCTTTGGCCACTTCCTCAGTCAGCAAACCTTCCCATGTCACCCCCTGTCTGTCCACCCCATGCTGGGGGATGCTGGACCCTCAAGAAGCCTCATTTTTTTGCCTGGCCCCTGAGTAGCCCCCAGTCTTCGGGGAGGGGTTGCAGAGCAGGATACAGACACCCCAGCCCCTTGCCAACAAGGAAAAGGAGGGCACTGGGGGAGCTCAGGAGAGCAGAGGGGCTCAGCCCTGAGGGGGCAGGGAGGGCTTCCCAGAGTGGGGCTCTTGAAGAATGAGCAGGAGGTCACCAGATACAGGAATGGGGAGACAGAAGGCGTGCTAGGATGAAGGTGTGAACAGAAAAGAGGTGGCCTGTGTGGGAAGTAACAGAGCATTCTCTGCCACTGGAAGAAAGTGTATTTTTGAAGAGAACACATTTGTTGTGAGTTCCTGCTTGAGGAGGAAGCAAAAGGGTCCTTCTGTCCAGCTGGGTGTTCCAGGCAGAGGGAAGAGCCTGGGTCAAGGCCGTGAGAGAAGAAGGCCTTCCGGACAAAGATGGAGTTGGACACAGTGTGATAATGGGGGCTGAATAAGGGGCTGCACAGGGTCAGGCCCAGCCCCTGGGGCCTGAGAGCTGCATTGAGGGGCTTGGATCTCCTGCCGGGGTGATGTGCATGGGGAGGGACTACTAGAGCCGCACCTGCCCCACAGGCCTGTTGACTCAGCACCTTCGCTGTGAGTCAGCGTGTGCCCCTTCTTACGCAACTTTTGTCTTCCTCTCTGCTCAACTCCTACCCCTGCCCCACAATCCACGTGGCCCGGAGTCGGTCAGACCTGGGTTTAATCTTCACTCTTTCTCTAGAAAGCCTCCAGCAAGTCACCACTCTTTTCTAAGTTATGTGGGCAGATGGCTCCACTCCCAGATGGGGGCTGCACCTGTCAGGTAGGAGTGACTGCATGCTCAGGGCCTGCCCCCTGGGGCTGGGCCAGAGGGGAGTGTCATCTTTGATGCCAGTTCCTGGTCAGTCATTCAACATTCACTCTTAGTTCTTCATGCTTCTCCTTTCTCTCTCTCTCTCTCTTTTTTTTTTTAAAGAGATGACCGGTAAGGGGATCTTAACTCTTTACTTGATGTTTTCAGCACCACGCTTACCCAGTGAGCAAACCAGTCATCCCTAGATAGGGATCCGAACCCGTGGCCTTGGTGTTATCAGCACCGCACTCTCCCAAGTGAGCCACGGGCCGGCCCTTCTCCTTTCTCTTTGATGTTCCTTCTTCTCTTCCTCTTCCAGCCTTTAAAAATCTTCCAAAGGATCAGTGGATAAATGGATAAGCAACATGTGGTATAGCCATTCGATGAAATATTACTTGGTCATTAAAAAGAATGAAGTAGGGTTGGCTGGTTAGCGCAGTTGTTTAAAGCACAGTGTTACAACACCAAGGTCAAGGGTTCGGATCCCCTAACCAGCCAGCAGCCAGAAAAAAAAAGAATGATGCACTGACACATGCTACAATGTGGATAAACCTTGAGAACACTGTGCAGAGTGAAAGAAACCAGACACAAAAGGTCACATCTTGTATGATTCCATTTACATGAAATGTCCAGAGAGGCAAATCCTTAGAGACAGAAAGCAGACCGATGGTTGCCAGGGGCTGGGGAAGGGGAAATAGGGGGTGACTGCTTGTGGGGACATAGTTTCCTTTTGGGGTGATGAAAATGTCTTGGAACTAGGGCCGGCCCGTGGCTCACTTGGGAGAGTGTGGTGCTGATAACACCAAGGCCCCGGGTTTGGATCCCATATAGGGATGGCCGGTTAGCTCACTGGGTGAGCGTGGTGCTGACAACACCAAGTCAAGGGTTAAGATCCCCTTACCGGTCATCTTTAAAAAAAAAAAAATAAATAAATAATAAAAAGAAAAAAAAGAAAAAGAAAAAGAAAATGTCTTGGAACTAAACGGAGATGATGGTTGTACAACACTGCGAATGTACTAAATGCCACTGAATTATACACTTACAAATGGTAAATGGTTAATTTTATGTGATGTGAATTTTTCCTCAATTTTAGAAAAGCATTAAAGGAAATCATCGATAAATGCCATACTTGTTGAATATATTTGTTGAATACATGAATGAACGAAAAATAACCCCCCCAGGCAGAGCCCTCACCAACCTGCTGTGAGCCCTTCCCACACTCAGTGCCTCCCTCTGGCCCAGCCCTGAGCCCTCCCCGTGCTGGGGGAGTCTGTATCCAGCTTTTTCTTCCCCAGACTCAGGACTCTCCCAGGGCTGGACTTAGGGCTTCTAGCGTCCTCATTCTCTCCACAGAGACAGGGGGGCTGCAGGAAGGCCTTGCAGCATGACTGATTTTGGAAAAGGCACTCGATCAAATTGAGCAAGATTAGCTGAGTGACAAAGCTGTGTGGGGTGTGGGGTGGAGCTGAGGGGCTGGGGTTGACTCCTGAGGTTCACACATGGTAATGAAGAGGAAGGGGGTTGCTTCTGTCTGGGAGAGTGGAGGGTAAGAAGGGGTGTGTGTGCGTGCGCGTGCACACACATGCATGAGACTTCTAGTGTGTGTCTGAGGTCTGAGGCTGCAGATGACACCTCAGGCTGGGCCTGAGTTTCAGGTTGTGAGTGTTTCCGATTTTAGAGTCCCCACGAAGCTTTGTGCATGGGTCTGCATTTGTGGGTCAGTGGCTGTGTGTTCACGAGCCTCTCAGGACGTGCCTGGGATCAGTTTCGAGGGTTTCTGGCGGTCTGTGTCCTGGCTCTGTGTGTGTCCCCAGCTCTGGGTGTGCGTCAGGGGATTGGGGATGGGGGTGTTCGCGAGGCTGGGTGTGTCTGCCACTGAGGGTTCGGCCCGCGTCTCACCGCACGACGGGCCCAGGTTTCCGAGGGTCCACGGGTCCCAGGCTGTGCGTGCGGGTGGAGGGTGGGTAGGGACCCCGGGAGGCCGGGAGGGGGCGGGGGAGCGCAGAGCCGGCCCCGGGGC